TTTTCATATGCGTCGATGACGTTGTTGACCTGAAACGGGTCCGATTTGAGCATATTCGCGGTTGCGCATTTGCGGTTGCAAGCGACAATGACCCTTGGGAGAACTCTGCGCCGCTTCGTACCGACACGATCGGGACCATCTTGTTGGTGTAGTGGCACGACATATTCAATCTCTTCTCAAGGGAACCAGGGATGAGGCTGGAAGCGTCAGGACGGCCGATGGTGCTCTGGCAGAGAAAGCGAGCCGGGGGTTGAATGGATGGACTCAGGATGCTCGAGTGACCCACCAAGTTTGGCAGAACCGAATCTATGGAATTGTAGTAGTCGATAGCCAGTTGGTACACCTGGATCTGCAGCACAGCAGCCAATGTTCACAGCGCGATCAGTGACCAGCCAGTCGGCGAGTACGTGCATGATGGAATGAAACTCGTCTATTCGGCCGGGGAAAGCGTGTAGCAGAAGAGGCCGAAACGACAGCACCACAACGACAGCACCGCAGCCTCCGAAAGTTCAGCAGGCTTCAGGCCTCTGAAGCCAGAAAAGCACGTATCCCGCTGTGTTTCTGGATAGACTTTACCGCGCGGACGATCCATGTCGGAGCGACGCCATGATGAGAGACCGTGGCATTGTAGGAGGTGAGCAAGGCGATGTTGAATACCGGAGCAACTTGTTTAGCAGTGCTGACAGGAAAATACGGCTCGGATCGTATTGTCTCAGGCGGGAAGTCCTGGGCAGCTGCGAACCAAGCGCCGAGCGCCAGGATCTGCAGTGCAAAGACAACTGCTCGGATCTTCATCGCGCAGGACCGTTGATGGATAGAAGGAGGGCGGCGGGATAGTTCGACGAAGCGATGGTGGATATCCTGATTCAATCATGCGTGAATCAGGGTTGGTCCAAGATTGCCGAAGTGTAGTGGCAGCGGCTGGGCCAGACGAGAGTACAACAGCTCGTTGAAGCAGTAATGGACACATGGCCTCCTTGGGTGCTCCTTCCCATGGAGACGGTCCGTCCTGGAACATGGCTGCAGTCGATATCTCATTACCTAAATGGTGACATGCATATAATATATTGCGACAATGCCCCCAAGCCAAGAACAAGCAGTGGCTGACATACACTGTCGATCCAGAAAGAAACGGGACAGTTCCTTCCTGGCTTCAGAGCCCTGAAACCCGCTGACCTACTGTAGGCCCAAGTGAGCACGCCGTGAGATTGTTTCCCGTCTTGGTTGGCAATCTCTTTGATTTGGTTGGCTTTGGAAGCATGGTCTTGAATACACTCGGTCAATCTCCTGTATCGATGTGGGGGTGTGATGAACTCGTTCACCGAGCACACATGGATGAATTGCTCGATCAGCCGTAGCTACTGGACAACACAGTTGGTTTCTGCCGTGCACCCAAGTGCTGTCGCATAGCAGAGGCAGTGAAATGAAGCCGAATCGACCTTCCACTCAGCAGAATCAGATCGGCCCGGGTCTTACGCCGTCCTGGTTGTCTCATGGGCAGCAAGAGTCATGGACTGGACATGTGTATATTGGCATGCGAGACAGCCGCACCATTGTGGAGTGTCCAGGTGTGCATGCAGAGAGCAGATCGATGAGATGATACAGAGTGGGTATTAATGGGATGGGATGGATGCACATGAGGCGGGTGCAAAGTCGGTGGTGCTTGGACCGCTGTTGGCAGTATATCAGCCAGTTTACGAGTCGCCGTCGCTTGGCTTGGATCCAGAAGTGTCCTTCTCGGCCGAAGCGTCCTTGCCGTCCTTGCCGTCCGAGTCGCCGTTCTCGGCCTTCTCTTTCTCATTCTGCTTCTGCTCTTCCTCGCGCTTCTGCTCTTCCTCGCGCTCCTGCTGTGCCCGATACGCTTCCTTGATCGCCTGCTCAATCTCCCACTCGGACTTTGCGCCAGCCTGGATCTCCGAGGCCCGCTTCAGGAGCTCCGGGACCACGCTGTCGGGAGCAGCCCGGTTCAGGATCATGATCCGCATGGCGTCGGCAGGGGAGATGACGTGCTCGGGGAGGGTCTCGACGCCCTCGAGCACAGCAGCAGGATCGTCCATGACGGCGCGGTACATGTGCGCGAACTGGTACTGGGTGCAGTAGCCCAGGTCCATGTGCAGGTCGATGCGGCCGGGCCGGATCAGGGCCGGGTCCAGGACTTCGGGGTGGTTGCTCGTCATGATGACAATCATGCCCTCCTCGGTGACATAGCCGTCGAGGCAGTTGAGCAGCGCCGAGAGGGTGAAGCCGGTCGAAAACAGCCTGGCCTTCTGGTCCAGCGAAGGACCCATGATGCTAATGTCCTCAAACGCAGGCATCTCGGCATGCAGCAGGGCACGGCTGGTCCGCGAGTGCACCGTCTTGGACTGGGCATCAATGTCCTCAAAGACAATCACCGAGTTCTTGGGGATGCTGGAGAAGGCCGACTGCAGCGCGCTGTCGTCCTTGATCTCCCGGAGGTTGATGTAGTAGAGGTCGCGGTTGAGCGACGAGGACAGGGCGTTGACCAGGCTGGACTTGCCGGTGCCCGGTCGGCCTGAGAACAGATAGCCGCGGCGGTAGGGAATGCCCATGCGGGCGTAGAACTCGCGATCGGCCGTGAAGGTGGCAATGTCCTTGCGCAACTGCTTCTCCTGGGCCATGTCGAGCGAAACGGCGTCGATGCCGCGGCTGGATAGATGCACAGGCAGCGTGGGTCAGCGACGAAGCAGATGACCAGGGCGACGATGGGTGCTGTGTCGGTGCGATGGACCGAGGCATGTGCTGGCACCAACGGAAGCGACCCGATCCCGGCTGCCCGATTCACGGTGCATGGCTCACCTCGAGTGCAGAGTGCAGGTCATGTTCCAGTAGTATGAGCCGGCGTCCCAGGAGGCAGCGACTCGCTCGTAGCGGCCTCGGGTCTTGTTGCGCTTCCGATGGCGCTCGAACTGGCGGGCGACCTTGATGACCCAGTTGCGGATCCACTCGACGTTGTACTTTTTGCCGGGGGTCTCGGGGCAGATGACGATCGTGGGCTCGGCTCCGGCGCGCATCGAGCGAGACGACTCCGAGTTGTTGTTTTCCTCGCCATTGTCGGCCTTTTCGAACCAGACGCGGAAGGTGTCGCCGTCATCCTGGAGCTTCATGCTCTTGCTGTTGTCGACGGGGAGGATGTTGAAGTCCGAGATGTCCTCGTCATCGACATCGTCTGAGTCGTTCGAGATGGCGCCGTCTGCACCGAGCTCGCTCTTGCCCGGCTTGGCGTCGCCCTCAGGCTCCTTGGTCGGGTCCGACTCTGAGGCTGCGGGCTTGCTCATTGCTGCCGAGCCGGCAGCGAGAGTGCCAGAGACGCCGGCCGAGGACTCGAAGGGGACGAGCCGGAACTCGCCGACCTCCTGGCCCTTGGCCAGCTTGGAGATCAGCCAGGCGAGCGACAGATAGTGCTCGTTGACACAGCGCTCGCCGTACGAGTCGATGCGGAAGTATTCGACGCGGAGACTGATGTCTTCGGAAGTGAGCATCCAGCTGCCGATGTTGTCCCAGATGTACTTGGCAAGGGCGAGGCCGATGGTGACGATGGCGGAGGTTGCTGTGGGGCGAGTCGAGAGTCAGCACTGCGGGAACGGACAGTCACCCGAGAGACAGAGCCACCCCGAGGACATGCTGCTGTGCGGAACGGGAGCAGCACCGGGGACAGGCTCGTCTCGGCTCGTCTCTACTCGGCTGCACAACACTCACTGAACATGTCGACGACGTAGATGCCGGTGTTGATGTAGTTGCCAAAGTGGACCGGGACCCAGGCCAGCAGCAGCATCTGCAGCTGGGACTGGCTGAAGAGATCGTAGATGGGCTTGAGGCTGCCACCGGTCAGCTGCTGCTGCAGATGGGTCCAACCGCTGTTGGCGGCATGGCCGAGCGAGACGACGTGGCTGACGAGCAGCGACGCCTGTTCGTGGGCGAGGAAGGGCAGGAGCCAGAGCAGCCACGACTCGGCGGCGGATGCAGGCACGGGCGTCATGGATTGGATGAGGATGAGATGAGATGGAGATGGGTGGTTGGCAGAAGTCGAAGCGAGTGAGGGGGTATTTATATCGACAAACGGAGCCAGAGGCGTGGGAAGGCGAAGCACCATGGGAATGGCAAAGTCGCTGGGACCCATGTGTGGCTGAGCTGTGGCTGTGTTGTGTGACAGCGCAATCCGGATCGAGCCAGGTGCACTGGATCCGGAGCGATCCGCAAGCACGTGGACTGGTGGTTGCACGTGTGTGGTGTGGTTGCACATCAAGGCAATGATGTCGTCCATCGACAACCACTCACTCACCACTCGCTCACTACTCACCACGTCCAGACCAGCTGAGTCCAGTTGGGCACATCGGAAGATCTGTGTATCTCCTCTGTGTCGCTGTCTCGATCACCAATCCTATCTCTATCTCGGCATTGGATCTGTGGGTCCTGATGGTGATCATCATGACAGCTGTCGATGGAGGACGGCGTTGCAGGTCTGAGTGAGTGAGCTGCTGCCAACCAATCGATATCTAACGCTGGTGGCAATGACAGATGCTGGATGTGTGGGAATGCGGGTGACACGTATTGATTGACTGGCACTCGATCCATGGATCCAATGCGATCCTGGTTTCGTGACTGTGCCACTCTCATTCCATTCCACCCATCTCATCGCCTCATCGCCTGGACATCATCATCGCACTCTCCTCATATCCTAGTCTGTTGCATCCCTCAACCAACATGGCTCACCCGGCCATCGATGAACACTACCCAGATAGATTCACCATCATATGCTGCAACGACAGTTTCCAGCTTGCCCTCGATCACAGCAGCATCAAGTCCCTCCTCCAAGTTTGCAGGCGTGCCCGACTTCTCCTGAGCTTCAAGGTTCCTCGTTTCCACTCATGGTGTCAGACTGCAGGGCTATGCAATCCAGACGGACAGATAGAGATCGGTCTCACACCGAGCGACCAGATTGCCCTCTCGCCGCACTGTGATGATCAAGACACAGCCGACCGATCCTGGCTCGTTGCTCAGGCAGACCAGGGAAACGCTGCCGCTTCATACTTCCTCTCAAGGATCCTTCTTGCCGACCTTGTAGCAAGTAATGTATGGCGGCTCAAGCGGATAGTCGCACTCCAGCCCATCTTGCGATTCTTACACTCAGCAGCCCAGGCAAACCACACGATGGCACAGTTCCGCCTGGCCAAGTGCTATCTCTACGGACTCATGGTCAACCAAGACCACACCAAGGCTGTCAAGCTCTATCGCAAACTTGCCGATCGTGGAATCTCTCAGGCTCAAATTGCCCTCGGTGGATGCTATGAGAATGGTGAAGGTGTCGATCAAGAGTATAACACAGCCATCGAGTGGTACTCAAAGGCTGCCGACCAAGGCAGTGAAGACGGCCGGCACCATATCGTGTTCCTCCAAGGGTGGCTCTCGTTCATCGGCCATGATGTCGAACAGAGCGACGTTAATGCGCTCAACCACTGGCAGGAAGTCAGCACCCAGTCCACCGATCCGATCATCAAACCCATCGCAACTCACATGGTCGGATGGATGCACTACCTTGGCCGAGGAACCGTACGCGACGAGCCAAGGGGTGTCAGGATCATCCGAGAGAACAAGTCGGACCGTTTCAAGCTCGGAGAGTCCGAGAGTCTGGCTGCATACGGTGATGCCAACTCCACCTCGCCCGTTGCCCGCAAGCTCTTCCAGTTTTGCCAGTTGGGATCAGATCGTGACTGGCTCTGCAAGCACTTCATGGCTCTGTGTCTGCACCATGGTTTCGGCACTACCCAGGACCGGACGAAGGCAGCTTGTATCTTTGAGCAGCTCGCCAACGACGGCCACAGCGACAGCCAGTTGCGGATCGGAAAATACCTCCACTGGGGCCTGGGAGTATTGGAGGACCGAATTACGGCATTCGAGTGGTACAGCAAATCGGCCGACCATGGCAATTCGTACGGGCAGTGGATGACTGGTGTATGCTACTACTGGGGACACGGAGTCATCGAGGACGGAACCAAGACAGTCGAGTGGGGTCGTAAGTCGGCTGAGCAGGGCAATCGACAAGGACAGTACCGACTCGGTGAATGCTACAGAGATTATGAATATATGCCTGAGGACATCGACGCTGCCGTCCTCTGGCTCCGCAAGGCCGCCGACCAGGACTTCCAGCTTGCCATCGACAGCCTCAAGGAACTCGGCAAGTGGCCCTGATCCCGAGTTTGACCGACGTCCGCCTCGGATCCTTGATTGACACTGTGTACTATCGAATGACTCGGCTATGACAACTCGTAATAGTTCACAGTGCATTATAGTCAGCGAGGACCACAACAGGTGTGCATGAGCTTGTTGTCTAACCCACTGCCGGATACCGTTTGGTACAAAGGCTTGTTAGAGGGCAGCACTATTTGTATATCGGATGTATTCAATGTCAAATACAACATCACTGCTTCATCGGATCCACTCTGCAAGTTCACTTCTTCGTATCGTGGTGTCTCGTTGAGACGCTGAAAGTGCAATTTTTTCTGGCTGTTTGCATGTTCAGTGTTGAGTCATGGTTATTTGGAAGTGGTACTTGAGAATCGAACACAGAGATCAATGCCACTTGCCGAGTTCCTTGAGGCTGTCGATGGCAAGCTGGAAGTCCTGGTTGGCGGCCTTGCGGAGCCAGAGGACGGCAGCATCGATGTCCTCAGGTATATATTCATAATCTCTATAGCATTCACCGAGTCGGTACTGTCCTTGTCGATTGCCCTGTTCGGCCGACTTACGACCCCACTCGACTGCCTTGGTTCCGTCCTCGATGACTCCGTGTCCCCAGTAGTAGCATACACCCAACCATCCACTGTCCATACGAGTTGCCTTTGTCGGCGGACTTGCTGAACCACTCGAATGACTTCTCGTAATCCTCCGATGCTCCCCAGCCAAAGTGGTAACACATTCCGATCCAGAACTGGCTGTCGCTGTGGCCGTCGTTGGCGAGCTGTTCCAAGGTACCCGCTGATTTCTTCTGCTCCTCCTTGGTTCCATCTCTAAGCAACAAACACACAGCCATCAGATGACTACACAGCCAGTCTTGGTCTGATCCCATCTGGCAAAACTGGAAGAACTTGCGAAATGCGGGTGATTCAGAGTTGATGTTGTGCCAAATCGATGCCAGACACTCATCCTCCCCGAGCTTGAAACGGTCCGACTTGTTCTCTCGGATGATCCTGACACCCCTTGGCTCGTCGCGTACGGTTCCTCGGCCAAGGTAGTGCATCCATCCGACCATGTGAGTTGCGATGGGTTTGATGATCGGATCGGTGGACTGGGTGCTGACTTCCTGCCAGTGGTTGAGCGCATTAACGTCGCTCTGTTCGACATCATGGCCGATGAACGAGAGCCACCCTTGGAGGAACACGATATGGAGCCGGCCGTCTTCGTTGGCTTGATCTGCTGCCTTGGAATACCACTCGATCGCGGTGGTGAAGCTCTGATCGACACCTTCACCACTCTCGTAGCATCCGCCGAGGGCGACTTGAGCCTGAGGGATCCCGCAATCGGCTAGGCTACGATATATCTCGACAGCCTTGGTGAAGTCTTGTTTGACGCCGCGACCGTTGAGATAGCATTCTGCAAGATGGAACTGGGCCATGGAATGGCTTGCCTTGGCTGCCCTCTTCAGATGGTGGAAGATTTGCTGATGCTTGGCATTCTCTTCAAGCTCATCGTCATCGTCTGCTTCTGTGTCGTTCTCAGATTGCAACACCCGAGCAAGGAGATACGAGACCGATGCGTTTCCTTGGTCTGCTTGAGCAACGAGCCAGGATCGGTCGGCTGCAGCCTGATCCTCGAAGTGTAGCGAGAGGGCGATCTGGTCGCTCGGTGTGAGACCGATCCGCAGGTGTCCTTCCAGATTGAGTAGCTCCATGCTCTGACACCAACGGTGGAAGCGAGGCATCTTGGAGCTCAGGAGGGGTCGGGCTCGTTTGCATACTCTGAGCAGGATCTTGATGGTGTTGTGGTCGAGGGCAAGCTGGAAACTGTCGTTGCAGCATATGATGGTGAAAATGTCTGGGTTGTGTCCAAGGGAGAGCTGGTTGATATCGGGGATCGACGAAGTTGCTCTGACTTCAGCTTGGCTTTGGTGGGTGGCAAACGATGCCGTGGCTGAAGGAGGCTCGATCATGCTGGACATGTTGACGGAGACAGGATGGAGGCAAGGGGACGATGGAGATAGACAGGAGACAGAGAGGCAGGTTGTGGCGAAGCAAGCCAAACTCTGGCAAGCCCAACACTGGCCATCGAACACACACTCACACGGAAGTTGTCGGTGATCATCCAGAACGGTCCAAGTGGGACAACCGCAATTGACATCTTGATACGAGTCATCGTGCTCGATTCCACTATCAACAGACAATGCAGCGCAGCAAATCAGCGACGACCACAACGGGTCCGGTGAGTGCTCCTCGGGCGACTTGGGTTCATTCGATGGGAGGCAATATGTCATCGTGGAAAATGCGTGCCCCACGCGGAGTCGAACCTGCGACCTCGACACACCAATCATGCCAAGACGCCAGCCACAGGTGGATCGATCCATGCGCAGCAAATCAGGTGACATCCTCCACAAGGCAGACCCGAAATCTCGTCCACCAGCCACACAACATCCAGCCGACTCGCTGACAACCCGCCATCACCACAAGCCAGCCGACACAGCTCGCAGACAACAACGACCGCTGCACCGCCAGCCAATGCCTGAAACGAAGCAGCCAATGCGACTCAGATTGAGTCAAGCTGGCCGATGTCTTCTGGCCGAGGTCTCTTCCGCAACGCTGTTTGAGCCAGCTCTGCCCCGTTGGTTGCTGGCAAAATGCAGCTTATGAAAGGAGCAGACGGCAGGAATACCATGCAGCCGATCTACAGAGAGCGTCGACGCAGACACAAGTCGGTGAGATCTGCGGAGAGCATATGGCTGCATCCAACAATGGCCAGCAAGAGAAGTGTCCAAACATGCAGCCAACGGGGATCGCCAGCATCTCTGCTCCACAGCCAGCCCCGGAGTTTATGTCCTTGGCACCTCAATGCCGGGCTTGGGCAGTTGAGCCTCAGCGTTCAAAATAGGAACCGATACTGTCCCTGCGTCTCAATTTCCGAGTGTCCCTCACTCCCCACTTTGAGACCAGTCGTATCTTGAACGGATCGTTGTCCCTCGTATTCAGAGTGACAGCTTTGCACTGCGCCTCTGCTTTCCTTGAGCTCACCTCGACATCATTTCCTTGCTGTTGAGCACCCTTTGCACTCTAATATCACTTTGACCGCTCCCTCTCGGCTTGACATCGGACACGCTGTATTCCAGTCCTGTCATCTCGCTCGTCCCTGGGCCCAAGTCTTGGGCTGGGACACTTGCGTTCCCAATCGAGCCCCTTCGTTGGGTACTTGACAGTAATGTGTGGTCGACTCGGCGTTCAAAGCAGGACTGTGTTGAGATTTCGGATGGTTGTGCCCTGCCAGCGGCACTCCTGTTTGACTACCCAGCCTGCACAGCGAGATGGACAGCTTGTTGGCATGGATTGACCTTTGCGATTGTATCAAGAGGCATTCAACACTGTGTCGATGGGGCTGCCTTTCCGACTTGTCGATGCACTCTCTCGGTGCGGCTGCCGAGTTCGGCAAATCCTCGACCAGGCTTTGGGCAGGCTTGCGAAATCCGCCACCAGATTTGCCCCCTTTCTGCCCCTCGTCGCCCTGATCTCAACCTGCAATGTTGACGGAGGTCTTGATCCTCCTTCTGACGGTCCTTGTGGGCCTGCTCTCGCTGTTGTTGCTCAAGAAGGACACGACACCAGGTCAGCGACAGCAAAGTGATAAGCTGATATGGACTCCTCGATGACGATGAACGGACTCGGCTGCACATCTTGGAGGGTGTGGTGTTCTCGATGAGTGCCACGCAACGACGCTAGAATGGTGACTTGGATGTTCGTGGTTGGTCGTCGCTGGAGCCATTGATCGACCCAATCTGACTCGACCTCGGTTTTGGGCTGTCTATCCATCGACGCATACATGACAGGAGAAGCACAGCTCGCTGGACCAAATGATTCCTCTGTTGAAGCGATCGGCCAGGAAAATGGCCCTCTGATGAAACCAACGGACTCGCAAAAAGGCAAGAGATCGACCGATGGCTCGACCCAAGGTCCCAGTTCTCAAATACAGCCCAACGAAGGATCACCCAAACATTCCCTTGGACGCGAGCTATTACACTCCAGCGACCCCCACACAGCATTGGGAGTGCCAGAACCAGTATGAAAAACACGACGTCTTCATCAGGTTCGTGGCACTGCATCGGCATCTGCACAATTTCACGCACCTAACTTGTGTTCTGCAGCTATCGAGTCCAAAGCGATACGGGGAACGCAGATGCCTTGCACGGAACCCTCGCGAATACTCCCCGTGGCCAAATGGCCCTCCATCCATACCTAGACGTCCAGTGTCTCTGTAATGGCATGGACTGGGAGCAGGGTTTCATCAATGGCCTCTACAACTCCAGTGTCGTGGTCGTTATACTCTCTGAAGATGGTGTGAAGCGGACCTTCGATGCGCACAACACACCCGACAATCAGTTACTGGAGGTGGGCTGTGGCTTATCCGGATCTAAACTGCCAGGCAATCCGGTAATATTGACACTCTGATTCCCTACTGATCCAGCATGCTCTCAAGCGAATGAAGGACACTACCACCACCGATCGCCTCGTCATCATCCAACCTGTCCTCATGTGGTCCACTCGAATTGTCGGAGACGAGGTCTTGAAGAAGGAATACTTCCCACCAGTCAATCAGTTTCCGAGATATCCTCCAATGCACAGGTCCAGTCCGCTGTTTGATGGCAAGCCCATGACTATTCAGCAGACAATTAAGGAGTTGTTCAAGCTGCAAGCACTCAAGGCTGTCGATACAGCCGCTCTCAGACAGTAAGTGTGAATGACTTTAATAGCGACTCATCCTTATCGCTGACGAGCAGTCGCCCCCTCCAGCCTGGCTCCTGCGTTTCGAGAGCTTGTCACCAAGACCAAGACGGCAGCAGTCCAAGGAGCAACATACCACAAGGATAGTCCCATCCAGCTCACTGCCGAACAGGATTCGCTCTTGCGATCCCTCCTCGATCCTGTCGACTCGGCCCTGGACAGAAGGGCACTCGAGGATCTGTATGTCGAGGGAACCCGCCAGTGGCTGTTCGACCAAACAACCGACTGGGTCAACCAGGACACCACCGACACTGTCCTGTGGGTCAATGCCGTTGCTGGAGTGGGCAAGTCTGTCGCTGCTGCCCAGATCGCCAACATCCTCACGGCCACCAACCAGCTGGTGTCGGCGCTGTTCCTCAAGTACAACGACATCCGCAAGAGCGATCCACGAGTGGTGCTGAACACCATCGCATACGGTCTGTGCAAGTGGTACTCGCCGATCGGCCGCAAGCTGCTCGAGGCTGGCCACTCCAAGGACAATCTCGACAAGATGAGCATCCCCGAACTGTTCAAGGCCGTGATTGCCGATCCACTCGAGGCCATCGGCGACTACAGACCCAAGGGATCGGTGATGATCCTGGTGGATGCACTCGACGAGTGTTCTCCGCGCGACCAGCTGCTCGGTCTGCTTGCCGTGCGCTTCGTCGAACTGAACAGGACCCGTCCGTGGCTCAAGCTGCTGCTGACATCCCCGACCCGAGGACGATATCAAGGCAGCATTCGATGGAGTCCCGACCAAGACGATCGAACCCTCGAGCGAGGAGAACATCCGTGACCTCGAGGTGTTCATCCACCACCGACTTCGAGTGTATGACATTCTCAGTGACTCGAACCGCACCGAGGCAGTCGCCATCCTGCTGGACCAGTCCAAGACATTCGTTTGGATCAACCTACTCCTCAACACCGTCGATGCAGCATCCAGAGACGGCCCAGTGACACTCGCCACGATCAAGGACATCAACGACAGCGCCGCCGATGTCGGCCAGCTGTACCACAAGACATTCGCCAAGATCCACTCGCAGTCGAGCCACCCGGCCGAGCTGGTCACGGTGGTGTCGGCGATCGCCACGGCCCAGTCGATCCTGACCCCGCAGATCATCGCCGATGTGTTTGGACTCGAGATCGGCGTCGTTCGCGAGTGTCTCAAGAGCCTCAGTCTGGTCCTCGATCCAGGCGCCAACGGACTGGGTCCCCGAGACAGCCAGTCCACCAACACCGAGGTCAAGTTCAACCACAAGTCGGTGGCGGACTATCTCCTCGGCGACACATCGGCTGGCCATCCGTGGCATGTGTCGGACTCGTTCCACACGGTGTTTGCCCAGGGATGTCTCGGCGTGATCCTCTCGCACGAGCCAGTGATCAACATCTGCGAGATCTTCGACTTTCACGACAAGATCCCAGACCTCGAGGACAGGGTCGCAGTCAAGATCACACCGTCGCTGCGATACAGCGTCGCCCACTGGATCACACACTTTGTGTGGTGTGTGGACGGAGAGGCCGAGTCGAGTCCGGTGTGGCAGTCGGCCGAGATGGTCGATGTGGCAGCGGTGCTCACTCGGTTCGTCAAGACGCATGTGTTCTTCTGGCTCGAGTGTGGGTCGCTCACACATGTGGTCAAGCCGATCATCGAGCAACTGGCTGTGCTGCGAGGAGTGACCAACATGGCACCCAGCACCATCATCGACGACACCACGAAGGAACTGGTCAAGGACACGTATCGATTCATCCGCGAGTTTGCCGATCCCGTCATCAAGAGTGCACCACAGGTGTACAACTCGGGGTATGCATTCACACCGAAGGAGACGGCGATCTACAAGACATATGCCGACCAACTCGAGGACAAGATCCCGTTCCTGGTCACCTGCGGTCCAGCACCCACCTGGGATCCGTGTGAGATGACACTTGCTGGTCATATTGATGGAGTCAGCTAGGTTGCGATCTCACCCGATGGCAAGTGGATCGCCTCAAGTTCCGGGTCACCACTTGGCTCTAGCGGTAATGCCATCAAAGTGTGGGATGCGACCACGGGTCAGCTAAAGCTCACTCTTGTGGGACACATGGATTATGTGTTTTGCGTGGCCACCTCCCCGGACGGCAAATCGATTGTCTCTGGCTCAGATGACAAGACCATCAAGATGTGGAATGCTACCACGGGCCAGCTGAAGCACACTCTCGAAGGCCACACAGACAGTGTGCTCTCCGTGACATTCTCTCCTGATGGCAAGTCAATATTCTCTGGCTCGGGTGACAAGACCATCAAGATTTGGGATTCTACTACCGGCCAGCTGCATTCACGAAAGGGACACAGAGGCTATGTGAAATCAACAGCCGTCTCGCCCAATGGCAAGTGGATTGTCTCCGGCTCTCGCGACAAGACCATCAAGATGTGGGATGCCACCACTGGCCAGCTGAAGCACACTCTCGAAGGGCATCAAGGCAGTGTGCTTTCCGTGACATTCTCTCCTGATGGCCGGTCAATCGTCTCAGGCTCTCGTGACAAAACTATCAAGGTGTGGGATACTACCACCGGCCAGCTGAAACAGACCTTGGAGGGACACAGGAGAGAAGTGAACTCTGTTGCCATCTCGCCCAATGGCGAGTGGATTATATCTGGCTCTGAAGACACAACGATCATAATTTGGGATGTTGTCACCGGTCAGCTGAAGCAAAATCTTGAAGGGCACGTGGCTGGTGTGAGCTCCGTGGCCATCTCTCCCGATGGTGACGCAATTGTATCTGGCTACGCTGATGGGACTATCAAAGTGTGGGATGCGACCACGAGCCAGCTAAAACACACCCTTGAAGGACACAAGAGTGGTGTACACTCTGTAGGGTTCTCCCCCGAAGGAAAGTCCATCCGATCCCGTGACTGGAATAATGGTCAATTCCTCTGGGTTCTTCAGGATGATCGCTGGATTTGTTCCGAAGAAATTTCTGCCAATATTCTTCCTCAATCCAGCGTCTCTTCCTCCGACGAGTGGGTCGAAATCAACGACTCACCTCAATGGATCCACCACCGTCACCACCCCGTCAAAGTCCCTCACTCGCTCTTTCATGATTGGGATATCCGGGCGCTCACGTTAATGGGTGGACTTGCGATGGTCAAGTCTGCCCCCCCCTTATCATCGTGGTGAGTTGGTTTTGCTCATTTTCCGTATTCTGGTTCTCGACTGACACCTCCACCCCCTCTCCTCAGCCGATATATCCGACTCTCTAGTTGCCCTTGGAGAAGATATGAATGATGCTGAGCTTGGCCTAGCCTCTTCGGGTTGCAGAAGAGAGGGCACACATTTATTCAGAACGAAACACAAGATTACGATGAAAGAGAGGACTGGGTGCCGAGCCATCTGCTTCAGTTTGTTCGATACGTGAGGAACAGATCGTGGTCAGGATGATCATGGAGATTGCAGTGGTAGAGCTGATTGCTGGTGGCGGTCAGCATGGCTGCGTATGAACCAAGAGGAAGCGGACAATGCAAGGGGCGGAGCCCTTGGGGGCGAAAGTGAGAACAGACATACGATGGATGCACCGAATCAGACAATTTCCAATTCCGTTCTTTGCACGACAGCTCGTCATGCCCAAAATGAAACGAGTCGTACCGATTGAGGTATAGACCGTTGCTCACAAGATGCCTCCGGCAGAAGGGAATCTGTCCGGTGGTCGTCTCTGGTGGTGGATGAATTGCTCGAAATAATCCCGCGCCTGAAGCAATCCGCCAGCAAATCCTCCTCCATCTGGCGAAGACGACCGATGCCGGTCGTCTTGGGGCACAGTTCCAGCTAGCCGAATGCTATAACGTTGCAGTCGGTGTCAACCAAGACGTCAAGATAGCTGCCGGACTGTATCAAGCAAAGATGGACGATGCCATGTTGTATTCCTCCAAGGTGGCTCTCTTTCATTGACTATTATGCTGAGTAGAGCAACCTGTCCACCGATCCAATGATCAAACCCATCGCCACGCACATGGTTGGCTGGATACACTACCTCGGCCGAGGACACCGACGCTGCCGTCTTGTGGTATCGCAAATCCGCCGACCAAAGCTTGCCACGGGCGATCGATTCTCTTGAGCAATTCGGCAAGTGGCCTTGGTCTCGAGGCCCTCCGAACGTCGTCTCCCAAATGCTGTGCGGCGACAGACGACACAGGCGAGCACAACACTACAAGCAGAGCATTCAGGCAAACGACATCCAATACAAGCATTAGATTGTTAGACCCCTTGGGCTGTCAAATGGCTTCGATAGAGTGGTGAAATATGAAAGTGTCTATCCCTGTCCTTCAGTATATCTCGGTACCGATACAAAGGGGATTCGTCGACAAGTGAAACCGAGGCTACGGCTCCTGGAAGCCATGGATAGGACCGAGCAATCATATCTAATCAAAGACAGCAGTCCATCGTGGATAATACTCTTGCCTCATCTTTACCCTGAAGGCCGCCCCGTTGCTGGCCAAGTTGCACCGACACTTCTTATCGAATTGGGACTGGATCAAAAACTGGACGCAGGTTTTAGAGTCTAGGCCGCCGAGACACATGATTTTCGGATGGCATCGCCCCAAGTAGTGAATGGCTCTCCCCTGCGAGATTTATGGGCCGTTGCGAACTCTCTGGTGCCGAATAGTGTATTGGTTGGTATCGAGTCTACAGCGTCGGAGCGGGCGGTTTATAGTGATGCTGTGTGGACTTGGATATATGAGCCACCGGTCCTCCTCCTCCACTTTCTCCCTTTCTCCAGTATCTCAGCGTCGCTCTAGTCGGAAGGTGCCTGGCTCCGTATCTACCCTTCTGTCCCCAAATGCTTCGCCCACAGCCGGGCTGGCCTTCCTCGCGGAGCACGCATCACAATCTGCTCAGTATCCTCTTTCTCAGCACTATTTCTGTTCTGGTCAGGCATGTCGGTCTGGTCGATCTTGTCGGTCTGGTCAATTCTGATGCTCACTCTGGCGTTGCGACCAGCCAGCGCGATGCCGGAAGTTTGCATTTTGAAGCGGCCGTTGCCACAACACTGCTTCGGGCGAGAGAGAGAGAGCCATCGGTCGAGACTATTGGGTGGTATGGTATCGGTCAGTACTATTCAGCTCATCGACGACGGCTAAACTGAACCAATCCCTCAGACGGATCACAATAGCACATCCGCCTTGCGCCTCACCTTTCAATCGTCGTCCTGGTACGGTCTTCGAACGATTTTGATGACGCCCTGGTCGATGAGACAGCGGGCAAGCTGGCTCATATCTAGATTGGCGGGAACAGGGTGTAGGGTGGAAAGTGTGCGAGGCAGTCAGCGATTGGAATTCCTTGCTTGTATTCATGTCTCCCCCTCACAGGACGACTGCCACGGTTAAACTGTGGGAGAGTGGGCCCAGCAGTCTCCTTGGCCAACAAACCGAGCCGCGGGGATGGCGCCCAGATCCCCGGTCGACCTCCCCCCCCACCTCGGCCACCGGGCCGCCCCAACAGGCCCGACAGGCCTCCAGGCACAGCATATCCCGCTCGAGCATACCAGAAAATTCCCTCCTGTTGGGAGACTGGAAGACCGAGGATGTGACCGACGAGCCCCTGACGGGAATGGGAAAGGCATTGTGGCTGTGGAATGTGAGGGAGGGAGTTCCAAGTCGTCCGTCGAGGCACACAAGCAGAGGGAGAAATTCGGGAATGGCGGGTGTCAGTGCAGATCTCGATCGATATCATCCAACGGATCGGAAACGAGTAGGCTGGCCCTCTTAATGACGGATCGCAGGCCGGCGACGGTGTGCTCAAGCCACGCATGGACAGGGGCATGGTAAACGTAGCTCGGTAAGGCCGAGGGTCCCGACGAAAGCGACTCGTGTAAATGACAGCCGCGAACCAGCCAAGATGACAACAGCCATCAAAGAGGATAGCAACAGCAATCAGAGCGGATGGCGACAGAAATCAAATGAGATGACAACAACAATCAAAGGGGATGACAGCAGCGATCAAAGGGGATGACACCTGTGCGGGAGGCGACTCGAACCCGCTGCCCTGGCTAGGGCGAGGCGGGCCCAATCCTCTGTGGATACGTACAGCTTTAGATCCACCAGATGGAACCGGAGGCGGAAGGGTCCTTCGCCCCGGACGTTCAGGTTGTTGAAGACGAAAAAGACGCCCGGTCGTCCCTCGGTATCGCGAGCGTAAATGCTCTCGGAGACGGTTTGTCCAAAGAGCGCTGGCGGAGGCAGCCCAGCTTCGCCATTCAGGTTGCCGGCAAGCGGCTCCACTGCTTCCGGGAAGAGCTCAGCATGAACTACAAAGCGGTGGGGTGCAGCAAAGGCAGGATGTGCGCTGTGGCAGCAGGCGGTCATGCCGATCGAGGGAGAGAGAAGGGGGCAGCCTTAATGCTTTGCTGCGTCTCTTTGCTGTCCACCAGACGCCCCAAACGCTCCAGCATCCCGGATGCGAGCACCCCCTCTCCCACAAACCACAAGCGGGCACCCACCTATTGTTGAATGTCACTCCACTCTGGTCTGTGAAGACAAGTCTCAAGATTGGCACAGGGCTGACGGAGCAGCTGGCCGCCGTGGGGATGCACCTCGGGGTGCGCTCTGGGTCGGGCTGGTCGATGATGATGAGGCTATACTCGCCAAGAGGATCACCGTCTCCAACCTAAGAGGAAAGCAGGAGATGCATCCATCAGCGCCGTGATATCAGAAGCTGAGCAGGGGGATCGTGAGGGGCTATCGAGGCGAGACTCGGTGACTGCGTCCCGAATGGCGCGATGAGCGCCGGAATGATGGAGCTCTCTGCTCAGTTTCCGGCATCCGCGCAAAGGGGCTGCAGAGGCTTTAACCGATGTGGGGGGGGAAGTAGAGAGCCGGTTCCGGTGCAGGTTGATGCAGTGCATGCAACAAGAGGGTCGGAAAAATAAAGATGGAGACCAAGGCACAAACGAGAGACGAACCTGGAGATAGTCAGGCCGTGGGCCAGAGCACAACATAGCGGCAGGGTCGAGCAGCTGGCTGTTCCAGTTTGGCGAGGGAGACTGGCGGCACCACCGAAATTCTGTTAGCGGCCCCAGCAAGCAACGGGATGGGCTGGGTCGGCAAGGCTGCAGGGGGGGGGCAGGCGCGGGTTGGTAGCAGAGAGGAGGCGCTGTGCCGAGCGACCGGGATGGTGAAGCGCCAGCCGGCACCACCCGAGCGACGGCACTGATGCATCGCTGCCGGAGAGGCGCAGGGTCCTGCTTATCGCTTGGTGCGGTTGGGTTGGGGGGGGGAAGTGCTCGAGCGCATGGCCATCGAGGAGCCGCCGACCAGCCGGCCGGAGTATGCACATACCGCAGATGGAGTTGGCGGAGCCTTGGGCGATGCCGGCATGACTTGGTGATGGTTGAGGTACCCGTGTTTATGGATGAGCATGGGCAAGACGATGCAGAGCCGAATATGTGGCCAAGATATACCCCAGCTGGTCACTCTCCACCGCCGATGGGTATCCAACTTGCAAACATGCATGGGGGCTCGCCACCCAGGCCGCTTCGGCTCGGAGATGCATACATCCGTGCCCGCATCCGCTCTCACGCGCAGGGCTCATGACATGGGTGTATTCATGAACCTCGCTTGCTATGCACATTCCATCGGCAGGCGGCTCAGTGTGTCGCCGCATGGTATCTCTGTCGCAACTTGTCCCTAGCCAAGGCGGCGAGATGTCGAGAGCGTTGGACAATAGCGCCGAGATTCCCGTCGCTGCCGCCGTGGGTGCGGTACAAACTGTCAATCCGACAAGACAGCCGAGCATATCGCTTGGATACACCTGTCTCGTGGGTATCAGGCCTGGCGACTTTACGGACGTGGTCCTGATCTTTGCGTCGAATAGGACGCAGGCTCGATCGCAACGGCGAGGCCGAAGCAAGATGGGGGATCCGAGAGTGCTCGGCCTGATACCCTTGGCTTTCAAGCTCGGGGCACTGCTTGCCTTGGGGCCGCTCGCCGGCGGGCTGTGCTACACTTGTGCCATATGCCGAGGCAGTGCATGAACTTGCTTCCAGGAGGGGTCGGAAAGTTGCACACGCTTCCTCCGTGCTTGGGCTTGGGCTTGGATGGACTGGGTGAGCGGGGTGGACTGGGTGGATTGAATGTATGCCTCCCCACCGTTGAGGCATGTGGCTCCTGCCCTGCGGTCCAGCGACGCAAATAAGGGATACCATGTTGGTGTAAGAGGGGCGACAGGGTATGCGGTGTCTCCAGGCAAGGGGGTCACAGCCGCTTGTTCGGGCTCGCCATGACGGCAAGTTCGGCTGATGAACGGCGCACCCCAAGTCGATGCGTAGCCGCCAGTCTGCCGCTAAAATCGGAATCTTTGGTCATTTGGACGAACCTGAGTCTCCGGATGTGGGTGGGAGATGGATGCCTCGCGGTTTGGCATCTCCGAGCTGCCTGGCGTGCAGGGCAAGTATTGATCAAGGGTTGGGATGTGAGGAGTAGGTCGCTCCATATCCTCGATCGTAGCCATAAACTTTTTCACGAAGCAGAGGTGTCAGCCCAAACGAACCCGTCAGTGACCGAGTCCAGCGATTCCTCAAGATTCGCTCTGGATCTGGTCTGTTGCTGTGCATCGAACAGTGGTCAATGCTCGATCTGAAGGAGGGTTGGGGGCTGTGAGGCTGAGCTTACCAGGGGATGATCTCTGCTGAATGTGCAAAGAACGGGCTCGCTTTGATAAGGAGCAGCGCAAGTACACCAGCTCCTACTGGCACTGGTGCTGATAGCACCGCCGGCAGCGATATCAGTAGCGATGTTGATGTTGTCGCCGCAACTGGTTTTATCGGGTTGGCAAGCTGTCATGTGTCCCTCGAATGCAAGTATCTGCTCAGGGTGGTTGTTCAGAAGCTGCCACACCAGAGGATCGATAAACTCAGGACCAAGCGAGCCTCCAGAGCCAGGGTGCGCAACAGCATCTGTTGGCGAATGCAGGACGGTCGTGGCGTCCCAGGACAGGCTCGGCGACATTCCGGGAGAACAGGCAGATAGGGCACGGAAAGCCATCTCCGAGTTGCCGTCTTCTGCGCTTTCAATAAGCTTAGGCGAGCCCGAAATGGGGTTGGGCGACCAAGGACCAAAGCTGGCAGAGAAGTCGTTGTCATGGTCGCCCGAGTGAGGCCCTGAGAGGACAGCGACAAAGTCCAAGATATCTGCCCCGAGTCCCGGTGAGCCAGTATCGCAGTACTCGCCTGCAACCGTGACTGCACCGTCGCAACTGCTGTCAGAGAACACGGCCCCGGGGCCGTCATCGGGACAGGCCGGCAAGACGGGGTGAAGCAGGGTGTCGCCTTGGATGCCGTTGGGGTCTTCTTGGCTTTGCTGTTGGCCCATTTTCGCTGCGGGAAAGCAGTGCAGACTCGATTTCGGCTTCGGGATGCGGTTCCGCTTCGCTGACCGGTTGGCGATCCGCACCGTGGTTGCTTTTGGTCGGTCGTGAGCACAGTGATGAGCTTCGGGGACTCTGGCTCTTGCTTCGGCCTGAGACAACAGACGGAGAGAAGGAAAGCAACGGTTTCAGCCGGCGTCGATGATCTGGTGCAGGACTGCCCAGAAGTCTCCCGACCGACGCTGTGAAGGAGATCTGGACAGGCAGCGTGCGAATGCTGATCCTTGCTTTGGCCGCAGGAATCAAGAGCCGCCCGATGGCCCACAGCGGCCGCCGTCGGTTCCTGCTCCGAGATGCGAGCGCAACAAACACATCGTCGCAGGCCTACTTCGCTTCGGGCAGCTTGTCGTTTGGGTATCGAGCTTGCCGCCGATCTTGCAGGAAATGTCTCCTCGCCAAAGGATGCGCAAGAGCAGCGTCGAGGCGGCGATGGTCCTTGTCAACCCGCTTGACAGGTTTTGCACCGACATCGACAAGGGCAGGGTTCTGCTGTCCGGACGCTGCCGATGGCGATGAAATCACGGAGTGTCGTCGCTCGTCGGATATGCCATTGCGTCGTCGCTGGTCGGATATGCCATTGCGTCGTCGCTGGTCGGATATGCCACTGTGTCGTCAATGGACTGCCCAGATCGATTTCTGCGCCATAGTGTGCCCTGCGCTTGGCCCACTGCCGATATTCAGAGCCTTCTCGACCTGCTGCGATCGGGAACGTCAGAGCAGCTGTGCTCTTGGCCATCCCCTCGCCGGGTCAGCAATCCTTCGGGTCCAGACGCCGGCCGTCTGCGGCGAACGGCCGGGAACAGCAGGCCGATGCTGCTGAATACCAATCACACCTTCTGGTGCTGCCCGCCGCCCTCCGCTCCCAATCACAGCAGCATCGTTTGTTGGATGTGCAGGCCAGGAATGTGCCGTCGACGAAGCTCTTTCGGTCCTCCACTGCCATCGGCTCCGTCGACTCTCTGGTCTCTGTGCAATCGTCCCTCGACAACCTCCCAGCCAAACTCAACCCAGAGTATCGATTGAATTGATTGTCGCTGAGTCGTAACGCCTGTCGCTGTTTCCACTGGCCTGCTCCGACTCGCTGCCTCGACTGCCCTATCCAAACTCGCTGCACCGCCAAACCCCATGGCCGAAAGCTCAACCGCAACAGCAGCAGCAGCAGCGGGCACCTCAGCGCCTGCTCCGGCCGCACCGATAGTGGCAGCAGCCGCCCCCGTCCCGCTCGTCATCCGAGTGTCGATGCCGAATCTGGGTCTGCAGAAGGCCCTGCGGGTCAACAGCACCGACACCGTCTGGTCGCTCAAGCGGCAGGTGATGGACAAGCTGGCATCCGACGTGCGGGATTCGCTCAACTATGGCTTGTTTCTGCCCGGCGTGGCCGGCAAGATGGGCAAGTTTCTGGAGGAAAAGCGGGACATTGCCAGCTACGGGATCGAAAATAACGTAAGCGGTGCGAGAAGGAGAGGAGGGATGGATCATCGGCCTGCTTCATCGATCCAGCCGCAGGCGGAGTGAAATGGGGGGGCTTTGGGTGTGTCGATGACTCCCCACGGCGCGGCACGGCGCTTCGACCGATCGATCGATCGATCGAGGCCGATTCTCAGATCCTCAACCATTCCCACAACCCCGTCAGCGGACGCTGGAGTTTGTGCCCAAGGCCAGAGCCCATGTCGCCAACTCCGAGGTTCTCGAGCCCAGCACCCTCAAAAAGGTCCAGAAAAAGTTCCTCGAGGACATTACCAAGGGCAACATCGAAAAGGTTGTCGAGAAGGGCCAGAAGGGCCTCGATCCAAACTTCTGGTCGGACAACGGCGGTAAGCTGGTCTGGTCTGGTCTGCTCTGGTCTGCTCGGCCCTGCGACATGTGTTCCTCCTCCTTTGCTGTTCTTTGCGCTCCTTGAGGGACCAAGCGATGCTGACCCTTGACGTTTGTGCTGCATTTGACGTTGGTGCTATTCGCCATCTCTGGTGATGACACACTTAACTGTCGGTCGGGCTGGTCTCGCGGCCTATGGATGTCTCCGGCTGTATGTGCGGTCCTGCAGATACATGCTTGAGCATGGCGGTCATGTTCAACGACCGCGAGATGATGGTCGTGCTCATGGAAAACGGCGCCTTTCTGGATTATCGTGTGAGCGAGAAGGACACCTGGAAGACCCCGCTCCACATTGCAGCCCACCACAACAAGGTCATTGGGCTCCAGGCGAGTATCGCTCCACAGACTCGGTAGTTCCGGATCAAGCTTGGCTCTGGACGAATACGAGCCCGGTGGCGCCCACTGCGATTGCGATGCTCCGGCTCTTTCTTTGGTCCAGCAGCACCGGCGACTTGCGCTGACCTTGTCTGCATCCACTTCCTTGTCGGTATCCGCTTCCACAGGCTCTGCTCGACTTTGGCGCCTGGGTCAACTGCGTCGATTCGCTGGGACTCACTCCGCTGTGGTACGCCGTTGCAGGAAGCCACCTTGAGAGCGTCCAGAAGCTGCTGGCCGCCAAGGCCGACACCGAGATCTTTGATGACAATGGCAAGGGGCTGCTCCACCAGGTAACGGATGGAAAGATGGACTTACACTCTTGGTCATGTCCGCGGCAGCCGGTATGGTGAACGCTGGGTTCTGATGCGTTTCCGATAATCTACCGGGACGACAACTGGGTCAATCTATTTGGGCGATCCGCCGGGAACAACACCACAGGCATGTCTCAACGACACCGGCTCGATCGCTGGTCTCCTCATCGACTACGGCGCCAACATAGAGGCCACCAACAGCGCCGGAAACACCCCGCTCCATGTGGCCTGCAGCCGGAACTCGAGAGAATGCGCCCGCTGGCTGCTGATGCGCGGAGCCGACCGCACCAAGGTCAACAAATCGAGCCAGACGCCTCTGCAGGTCGCTGTGCTCTCGGGAAATCTCGAGCTGTTTGAGTTTGTCAAGGCATTTGACGAGAAGGACATTGGTGGGTGAACTTTGGTGCCAACAAGGCGATGGGAGACTCGCAGGATCCATGCTGTGCAAGTCGATGGGGCGGGGTGGCTCTCGCTGTCTGCACATGTGTGTGCTCGATCGCAGATTCCCACGCCTACTGATATGCCGGCTGATATGCCCGCTGCATCCTGTCCGACCTCCTTGCAGTCCCCAGGCCCCCCAACATGTTCAGCGAGGACGCTCCTCCCCTGCCTGTGCTGGCATCGCGCAATCATGGATCCGTTGGGGTCATCCCAAAGCTCCAGTCGCCATCCATCCGCTCGGCGCTCTCCTACAGCACGCTCTCGGATCACAGCCGCACCAACAGCGAGCTGCACACACCGATGGCCGGATATCAGAAACAGACCCTCCACGGGTCCATCCTAGGCGGCCTGCATGTCAAGGTTCCCTCCGGCCTCTCGGTCGAGGGCAGCTGCTCCAGCTTTGAGGAGTGCCAGCGCACCTCGACGACAAACAAGATGGTCAAGTCCGGATCCTTGTCCTCGCTGGCCCCTGCGAGCGCCGAAAAGGCCCCTCGTCGCAAGTCCGGCATTCTCTCGGGCGGCTCTCCAGGCTCGGCTGTCGGCGGCTCAACCACCGCATTGAGTTCCCCGTCGACATCGGCAGCCTCGCAGAGCGAGCTCCCCAAGCGCCCGTCGTCGGTGTCGCACGCTGCGACGCCATTGTCGATGCTGTCCAAGAAGCAGATGCAGCCAAGAGCCAACGTCCCGCCTCCCCCTGCCAGCCCCCCCAAGGCCGCCGTCAATCCAAACATTCCATCGCCGCCTCCACTGCCCGTCTCAGCCGATCCCGCACCACCACCACCGCCGCCGCCAGCCGTCCCGAGCCTCGCCAATGTTCCACCACCACCGCCGCCGCCGATCGCCGAGGAGGCAGCGTTTGAGGCAGGCAAGATGCCGCGCCCCTTATCCAGCTCCAACGACTCGCTGCAGCAGTCCATGACGGACATTACCACTCCGCTGAGTGCCGGGCCCCTGCCGTCGTCTGCGGGCTCGGTCGGCGTGGTGCTGGGCCGACTGCGCGACCTGATCAAAGCCCAACCGGCAGACTCGGCAGTGCTGCTGGGCGAGTTCAGCAACTTTGAAGATATCTTCAAGGACATGGCCGAGCGGCTCGAAAAAGCCGAGCAGCACGTCCAAAAGCTCGAGGAGGAGCGCAAGAAGCTCGTGACGATCTGAGCGTACCGTTGGCGCGAGCTTGCTTGTTGACGGACGATGGCCCAGGCCCTGCTCCAGGCTCCGGGCTCCGGGCTCCGGGCTCCGGGCTCCTATGGCTCGGGAAAGCAAGTGTCCATGGGGCCAAAGGCAACTGAGCGGATACAGGGTTTCCAAAATGAAATGGGGCATCCCTGTTTTGTGCATGGCTGTGTTTTTTCTGTGACCTGAATACACCCACCCGCTCATTGCATTCATGGCCAAGCACAGCACCATCTTGATATCGAGAAACCACACTTTGTCCGGAGCTGTGCAAGCTGCCATACGCTGTGGGATCGAGGCATCAATGCCTCAAGGAACATGATCTCGGTATGCCAGTCGATCATCGCCACAGGAGATCGACCGGGTGTATTCAAGACCATGCTTCCCAAGCCAACCAAAACCACTCGATTGCCACCCATGACGGGAAACAATCTCACGGCTTGCTCACTGGGGCCTACGGAAGTTCGGCAGGTTTCAGATATCTGAAGCCAGGAAGGGAAGGTGTCCCGTTTCTTTCTGGTTTGACTGTAAACTACTTGGGTCCAATGATAATCTATTGGTGACGGCTCCAAATGCTCGGCGTTTCACAGGACATGAACATTGTGCAAGTGCAGCCGTGTGGAGCGCGATGGATGAAACAGAGCTTTGAGCGGGCTCGCTGACAGACGCCGATACTGAGAAACAGCCGCAGATGCAACAAAAACAGATGCGCACAGCGATCGCTGGGCAAATGACTAAGCAGGACCAGATATGGCTGGGAGTGGAGTGTTGCGCTGGAGACGGAATGTCCACGATACAGCAGCAAAGTGTGGACAAGGAGTTGCTCTTCGAGGCCGTTGACTTGCTCGTTAGTCTGCATGTGCGTCTTTGCGTGCTCTCTGATTTTCTGATTCGCTCGATGGCTCATATCCTTGGTCGATGGCATTCCAGAGGCCAAGCGATTCGAGAAGCTGATGTGGATGCGCTGATGGCTGGGTGGATCGCTGGAAGGCAGCACTACCACTTGACCGCCAGGGGGTTGATGTCATTTTTCTCGATGGCTCGGTACTGGGTATGGAGCATCTGCCGGGCTTTGGTGCTGTCGGGCCCGCCGAGCCAGGCTCTGCAAGGTGATGCGTGAGTGTGGAATCGGTGAATCGAGGTGATGCGGGAACAGAGACGGGTTTGGCGACCAGTCAAAGCGCCTCGGGCTTTGGGCAATCAAGAAGAGCTCGAAGCAGACGAAGGATGCATGGTGGAATGGCTGAGGGGAGGGGCCACGGCTTGCCGACCTGGCAAGTTACCGTGTTCATCTACTGCCAATTGGCCAGCAATGCCGGGACAGCAAATACGGCGGACAAACGGAGGAGATCATCGATACCAATAACGCGGCGACGGCCACGACACATTGGATTTCGATAAGGCTGCAGAAGGGGTGGGTTAGACGCATCCCTGTGACTCACCTGTACAGCTCCACGACGGCAGCATTCTCCTCGGGCATCTGGATGCCACCTTCCCCGGTGCCCACGGAGCGATAGACTTCCTCGACATGGGCAACCCAGGACCGACTCGCGCCGACGCCATTGGTTGCCGCTTGGTTCTCGTCAGCGAGCTGGCTGGATGTGTGGGACTCGGGCTTGAGCTGGCCACCTCCATTGATGCAGCCCGAAGGACAGGCCATGACTTCGACAAAGTGGAACTCGGACTGACTCGACGAGCCACGAACCCTTCGTGCAGCCCCGCCGGCCGTGCGTCCCGCTGCAGCAGGCTTGACCTTGCGCACCAGATTCTGGATGTTTCGGAAGCCATAGGCTGCCACAAACCGCAGCACAACCCCGCCCCTCTCGGGCAGGTTGAGGCAGACCTCGACAAAGTCGAGATTGCGGCCGGGCTTGATCTCGACGCCGTTTGTGCCCATGGCGACGTCGACGGGGGTCAGGATGTGGCCAAACAGCTCCTTTGCGGCGTACCGGAGGACGTAGGACAAATATCCTCCAGAGGACGAGCCCTCGGTCGAGTGCAGCAGTGCAAGGGTGCCGTCCGGGGACTGCGAGGCTTTGGTGAATCTGCAGCAACCACAGCAGCGGGGGCGGAAACGGCCACGGGCTAAAGTCAGCGCACAGCGACATATCCACATGACAGGATGACGGCGATGGGCATCTCAAGGGCTGTGGATGACAGACAATGCTTTCGGCACGGCGCTTACACAGGCTCGAGGGGCACCTCTGGGACGAGCGACAGATCCGTGATGCCTTGCTCCTTCAGAAGCAGCTCGACCTCGCCCGTGGTGATGACACAGTCCACATCCCGGGTCCGCATGACGTCGCTGTAAAAGTCTTCTCGCGAGGCTTCGAGCTTCTTGTCATAGCAGGGCATGACGGAGACATGGTAAATCTTGTTGGAAGGGACGCCCAGTCTCTCGGCGAAAAAGTCCTTGACGATCGAGCCCATGATCTGCTGCGGTGACTTGGTGGTGTCGATGTTTGGGATGATGTAGCCGTGGGTCTTTTCGGCATAGCAGATCCAGCCTGTGGATGGTGGACGGCGGAATACGAGCAGTGGAGCGGGTCAGCGAGCCGCGGGTTTTGAGCAATTCGCGGCGATCGGGGCATGGTGCCGACGGCGATGTGGATGGCGGTGGGAAGAGTGGTGAGGATGGCAGTGGGAATGACGATATGGATGGTAATGGCAGCGATGCAAGCAGCGACACAGCGGCCATGCACCGACCTGGACATGCGCTACTGAGCATCGGAAGCACACCGCTGGACGAGCCGGATGCGAGCTGGCTCTCTTTGAACCGCCGGACGAACTCTCGGGAACACTCCACGAGACTAAAGTCCCGGGAAAAGGCAGTGTCGAAGACGTAGTGGCAGCCCAGCGACTTGAAGAAGGCAGTCAGCCTCCGGTGAGTCTGGAGCGGCAGGATGCTGTGCTTTGCGGCGATGGATGCCCTTGATTGCGGGGAGAGCGAAATGACGATGGTTCGGATGTCGTGCGGGCGGTTTTCCTGTAAGCCCGTGGATCCAAGGCGGCGCAAATGGTAAGCAACAGAGACCCATATCGTGCGATGGCATGGATCGAGTATCGGAAGGATAAGGCGTGAGGAGCGGTGGTGGAAGCTGACGGCTGGTCGATTCGCCTGACGGATGTGGCCTGGAGTGGGTCGATTGACTCAAAGACACAACGACGGAGGATAGCGCAGGGGGGGGGAGTGCAAACCTGGAGGGCCTTCTTGTTCTCCGTCAGCACCGAGTACAGCTCATTATGTGATTGCATCGTGATCAGAACCGACTCGGCCGAGGTGATGCAGCCAGAGCAAGCCAGGCAGTCGTTCAGGGTGATCGAAGCCTCCTCCAGCTTGGTCGACGAGCCGTCGCTGAGGGAGACCTCGTGGTAGGAGCCGGTGTTGTCGATGCGGATTTCGGTCCTGGCCGTGCCGGAGTCATCGGCGCTGCTGGAGGCTGGGCCGCTCGGGGCTCTGGCCGAAGGCACCGGGAGAATGCAGGCCTGCGAGGGCTGGATATAGTCGTTGAGGTCGGTGAGGACGAGTGCGCCGGAGAAGTTTCCCGACATGGCTGCAGTAGTTCTCGATGGGTGGAGTGCCGTTGTTCAGATGGATGGACGGACGGACGGATGGATGAGGGGATGCGACCGAGTCAGCGCTGGTGCAGGACGAGATCGGGCGGTGGCATGGGCATATCGCAGGATTTGTCAAGCGGGCAGCCGATCTCGGGCGATAGCGGAAAACAAAGCCCGTCCGCGGCGCTGGTTGGCCAACCGACCCGATTCGCTGCTGCGCTCTGGCGACAAGGCGGGCATTCTGGCTGGATGTTGTCAATCGGCACTTGCGATGCTGTGGTGTGCTCGGCCGATGATGTACCATGGGGTTGGATGTCCAGGGGAATGCCCGGGGGATGCCCGGGGGATGCACAGGGGAATGCCCAGGGGAATGATCCGACTCACTTGGCTGTCCTTGCCCGAGGGCTTGTGTCTCGCCTCTGTTCAACACGACGTATATATCCGCCGCAGTCCCAACACCCAATGTGACCGATATCTGTGTGCTGTATTGGGGGCTCCCACACGCTTACTTGATCGAAGCGCCGACCACGCTCTTCACCGTGCACTCGCCCTTGGCGGTCTTCAGCACACACTCCTTTCCAGACGACGGCTCCACAAAGCATGCGCGCTTCTTTGCGTCGGTTCGGAGGTGGGGCTGGATGGCCTCAAAGACTTTCTTCTTGGGGTTCAGCTGGGCCTCGGGCTCGCCTGGGAGTTGGATGCAGCCAATGAGGCGTGGGCGGGATTGGCAGAGTTAGCCAGGGCATTCCCGCGAGCAGGTCACTAAGGAAAGTACTGGCATTTTGCGCGCGGGCCTTCTTCTCCTCCGCCAAGATCGATACTCACCCTGGTGTCCGTCAAAGTGGGCTCGATCGCCAGGCTTGCTGCCTTTGGGAGCGTTGATGAGCTCGACCGTGCCGTCGGCGCCAGTGGCCGCCAGAACCATGGCCTGGCTCTCGATGCCTCTCATCTTGGCCGGCTTGAGGTTGCAGAGCAGCAGGACCAGCTTGTTTTCGAGCTCGCTAGCCTCCATGTACTTGACCAGACCCGACACAACGGTTCGTGGAGCACCCTCGCCAAGATCGACCTGCTCAACGTAGAGGGACTCGGCATCGGGGTGTCGCTCGACGGACTGGATCAGGCCAACGCGGATGTCGAGTCGGCTGGGGTCGGGGTCGGAGGAGGCCGCAGCAGCACCTGAAATGGATATCGACGATGTGTTTGCGCCAGCATGGACTCGGGTCAGCGGCAGTGGTGGACGGCGGCAAATCGAACGTTCACACAAGTGCGCGAATGCACACACAGCTCGCACCTGCGGCAGGCTCGGCCTTGGGCTCTTTCTCGGCCTTCTTGGATTGCTTCTCAGTCTTGGAATCTTTCTCGGCCTTCTTGGGCTCCTTCTCAGCCTTGCCGGCAGTTTGGGCAAGCGGAGCGTCGGCAGCGGCAGCGGCAGCCTTGCCCTTGGGGGCTCCAGCCGGGGGCTTCTTTTCCACAGCCGGGGACTTCTTTTCCACAGCCGGCTGCCACAGTTTTTGGAGGTTCCAGGAAAGGATCGTGTCAGGCCGCATTGCATCAAGCCAGACCATATCAGAATTAGCTGGGATCGCACCACGTCAAAATCATATCAAAATCACACCAAATCGGATCGCTGTATACTATGTCATAGCATGCCTGGCCGTGCAAACGACGATTGGGTTGATGGGACAAACCTTTTCCTCGAAAGGATAGTCGAACGAGATGTCGACGAGGTGGTAGTACTCCGAAGGGGTCTTGAGCCCATCGTGGAGGATGTGCTGGATCAGGTCAAAGTAGCGGGTAAAGTTGGCATACTTGATTTTATCAGCGACTGACATCTTGGCCTAAGCGATCAGGAGAAAGTGTGAATCCGTTATTATTGGGGACTGACAGTGACTTGGATTAGAGCCCATCGATCCAGGCAGCGCCGCGATTACAGAATGCTTGCAGGTGATGGTCAGTCGGGAGCGAAAGCAACCCGCAGCGACAGCCCCAGGAGGCAACGTACGGCGGTGGTGTAGATGGCGTCATAGACGAAAATATCGGCCAGGGTGAGGTGGTGCGATACGAGATACACTCGAGACGAAAGCTGGGTGTTGAGATGCTGCAGATGGCAGGCATGGAAGACGGCAGAGTCAGAACATTGCGCCAGACGAGGAAAACCGTCCTCGAGATTGATCCTCGATGCGAGTGGCAAAGGCTTGGGCAGCAACAGTACCTCGACCGTCTCCTGGAGCTTGTCCTTGGAGGTCAAATTTTGCTTCAGGGAGTCGATAGCGGCGAGCTGCCACTGGACGATCTCGGCCTTGTCGGTCTCGGTCGATCCCAGGAGCGACGCAGAGGTCTTGTGGGCAAGGACCAGCGAGTGAGCTTGTGCGAGCAGATCCGTGGCCTGAGCGGCCTTGGGGGTGTCGACATGCAGATATGCGGCGAGGAGAGCAAGAAGATGCGACATTGCAGACAGAGTATCGGCTTATTCGCTGGGCGGGAGGATGCGATCGTGGACTGAGGGCGACGAAGGACGAGCGGTCTTTGGCGCAATGGACGACAGAACAGATCGACCGAGGAGATCTCGCCGAGGAGTGCTGCGCTCTCGGCCATGTGTGAGTCACATGGATGTGCTGCGCACGAAGAGGGATCCATCCACACTCGATCCACACGCACCGGATCGATTTGGCTGCATCCATTCCGCGTGACATCCCAGCAAGCGGTGCCACAGCAGCGCCACAAATGCACCAAATGTCGTGTGATCTGGCTGCGCACAATACCGCGTGCCGTGGCACAAACGCGCACCCTGCACAGACAGAGCCACAGACAGTGCACAGACAGTGCACAGACAAGGCCACAGACAAAGCCACAGACATGGCACAAATCCGCCGTGTACCTGGCGGCTGAGTCCGTTACACCCACCAGGCTGCACACCGCCTGGTCGTCGCTTGGCGTGGGCTCTTGGTGACCCAGAAACAAGGTTTGACCACCGTGGGCGCCAAGCCCGTCACTTGTGCTCGATCTGGGCTTTCGCCGCAGGCACATCCCTGGTTTCCCACGGCGGCTACTCCTGGGGAAACCCGTGGTCCAGCCTATCACCCGGGCGACATTCCATGGTGCAGGTGGCATTGGTGGTCACCTGGGGTCTCTGTGTGAGGCACCGGACCCTGCCTGCCTGCCCTCGACCATCACCGGTCTTGCGTCGTCTGTCCATGGCGTCCCGGTGTACTCTTCACTCGCTACAGCTTCCGCTTGCACCCCGGGCTCGCTCCACCCATACCCCCGCCCACTTGTCCGGTGATGCACCAGGGTCGTCAGGGCTGAAAATTTTGATGCCGAGCAGCATCAGCTGATGAGAGCATGCCCCCTCCTCCGCCAAATTTGATCATGCCGCTTGCGTGGGATGCAGGGCTTGCCCACGCAGGAGCCTGGTAGGTTTGAAGCCATCTCCTGAAAGACACGTCTCTGCCCCAAACCACCTCGGTGTCCAGTTTCGCATATAAACTCCATCGCCGCGCGGCCTTGGACGGTCCGCATCCCTCACTGCCGACGCTCCTCTCCCTCCCCTCTTCTCAACTCCTCACAATGGTCTCATTCAGAGCCGCTGCTGCCGTCTTTGCCTTTGCCGGTGCCGTCGCTGCCCAGTCCCACGCTGCCGGCGACTACCTCTGGCCCTACCCCGCCCAGGTCACCGACAAGAAGGCCCTCATCAGCGCCCGTGGCTTCACTCTCGCTGACAACAGCCAGAACAACGAGAACGTTGTTGCTGCCTTTGGCCGTCTCCAGGCCTCGGCCCGCTCGCGCTTCTCTGCCTCCAAGGCCAAGAACTCGCTCAAGGTCACTGTCTCGATTGCCAAGGATGAGGGATTTGCCGCCAAGGACCTCGTCGGTGCCGATGAATCGTACACCCTCGATGTGAGCTCGAGCGGTGTCAACGTCAAGGGTGAGTTGTGTGCCACGGCGATGCACTCTGATCAGGATGGATGAGATGTGGCTCATGATCGATTGTCCTGCGATGCACGATCTGATTGTCCACGTCCTTGACCGCGGCCATGTCACGCTCACCATGATGTGTATGTCGCACTCACTGACCTTGATACTGTCGCACTCACTGACCTTGATACTGTCCCATTCACTGTCCCTGCCATCAACTGCACAATCCCGCTCCCACTCCCACACAACAGCCAACACCCAGGTCGGCGCCATCTACGCCCTCCAGACCCTCTCCCAGCTCGTCACCAGCAGTGGTCAGGTCGTTGCTGCCACCGTCAACGACGCTCCCGCCTATGCCTTCCGTGGTCTCATGCTCGACACTGCCCGCAACTTCTTCCCTATCGAGGACATCAAGCGCATAATCGACGGTCTGGCCTACTCCAAGATCAACGTCTTCCACTGGCACATCTACGACTCCCAGTCGTTCCCCATCGACTGGCCCTCGTACCCCCAGCTCAAGGCCACGGCTTTCAAGGATGCCAACGGCAACCCCAAGGTCTACACCGAGCAGGATGTCCGTGACATCGTCCAGTATGCCTTCCAGCGCAACGTCCGTGTCATTCCCGAGTTCGAGGCCATCGGCCACAACGCCGTCTTCGCCGCTGCCAATCCTTCCTTCGTTGTGGGTCTCAACCACGCTCCCTGGGATGGACGCAACGGCGATGCCAACAATGTTTCTACCGGTGCCGTCATGTGGGGCACCCAATGGTGCAACCAGCCTCCTTGCGGCCAGATCGATCTGACCAACCAGGCTGCTCTCGAATTCTTCAACCAGCTTGTTGCTGAGGTTGGTGCCTGGTTCGAGGACCCCATTGTTCACTTTGGCCACGATGAGTTCAACTACCGTGTCTATGGCACCACTCCCGACAGCTGGGACTCTGTTGATGTCAATGGTATCTACGAGGTCATGGCTCAGGCCGAGCCCAAGCTCCTCCAGATCGCCGAGACAAACAACAAGCTCTACGGTGCCTGGGACGACATTGTCACCGACTTCAACGTCCAGAACATCATCCCCAAGGACACCTACATCTGGAACTGGCAGGGCGACAACTCGGCCATCCAGAACTTTGCCGACCAGGGCTTCACCAACATCATCGCCTCTCCTTCCAGCGTTTACTACCTCGACTGTTCTCCCACGGCTCGCTGGTGCACGAGCACTTTTGAGCGTACCGTTCCTGACAGTGCCCTCAATCTCCCAGGCTATGCCACCTTTCCCGGCCAGTGGCACAACTGGACGTTCATCTACAACTACGACACCACCGCCGGCTTGACCGACTCTGCCAAGAAGGCCGTCATTGGCGGTTCGGTTGCGCTGTGGACCGAGACCATCAAGCGCCACAACCTCGATCGCTACGTCTTCCCCCGTACCTCTGTGTTCGCCGAGCGCTACTGGTCTGGCCATGCAGCTCCTGCTTACGATGCCGTCAAGACCGCTGCTCGTCTCGAACGTTTCCGCACCACCCTCATCAACGAGCTCCAGATCGCCGCTGCCGATCTCTCTTACCTCGGTAACCAGGAGGGCACCGTCTTCCGTACTGAGTGGTGTGATGCCAACCTTGCCACTCCCGGCCAGAAGACTCACGAGTGCTGCTTCCCTGGCGAGCCCCTCACCGGCCACAACGGCTCTCCTCTCAACACCACCGTTGGTGCTCACTTCCCCACCGGCGACGAGGCCGACTATTGCAAGATCGCCGCCTCCTACAACACCAACTCGTTCACCCACGTTGTCCCCAAGCCCACTCCCTATCCCTACTAGGCTGGATGACATTCAAAACTCTCTCTCCCTGTCCATTAGTGCGCCGCTTGTGATGGGTTTCTGATCTCCTATGATAATACTTTGTCTCCCCATCTAATGATGCGACTGCGGGTTTCTCTGTGCTGTGACGCCTTTGCTGATCTGAAGCGAGGGTGTAATCTTGACAATACAATGCCATACAACGCAACACATTCGCTGTTAGTTTGGTTGTTGAGATCGGTGCGTGGTCAGCGGTACCGTGCGGACCTGCGGATCGATGCTGACCGACGTAACTCTGCTCTGTGGGTTGGAGGTCAGCCCAGCCAGATGAGCCCGAGCCTAGTGGGGCTGCGAAGAGAATAGGCTGAATCTGCATCCGTGCCAGGCCGGAGCCACAGCCCGGCGATCCGCCACAGATGCAGGCGAGCACTGTATCAGTGCGATGCGATGTTCAGATCCGAGGCATTCACGGGTGGCGTTGGTGTGGCAGCACGCGATTGCCTCTGTCCTCGTGGTTGGGCTGGAGACTGGAATCGATGGCCGGCTGGCACAGCACCAAGAATACAGCAACCCCAGGGTATTGTTGCTGAGTCACCCCGGGCGCTCGATGTATAAGAGGGGCTTTCGTTCGCACTGCAACACCGTCGCCCATCCCATCGCTCAACTCATCGCATACGATGTCATCTGCCGCTGGTAGCGAGCCGTTCCAGTGCCCCACGCACGGGCCCAAGCATGCCTTCTTCCTCTCGCATCGGCGCTCATCCGACGAGCAGATTGCCCGAGACCTCAAGCGCCTCCTGGCTTCGGTCGGCCAGCGTCGCCATGGCGAGCCCATCTCGGTCTTTCTCGACTCGGACTGTCTCGACGGGACAGCTGGCGTCTCCACCGATGCCCTTCCCGGCAGCGCCGTTGCCGTCCTGCTCGTCAGCAAGTCGTCCATGAACGGAATGAAGGAACTCGCCGACCAGGGCGAACCCGACAGCGTCGTCGACGAAATCAGGACAGCCCTGGATCTCAAGGATGCCAAGCCAGACCTGCCTGTCCTGCCGCTGTGCATTGCGACTCTGGAGGATGTGGGTATCCATCTGGACGACCTGGCATCATGCCATCATCGGACATGATCTGATATGCAGGGCCCATATCGGATGCCACTCGCTCACTCACTCACTCACTCACTCACTCACTCACTCACTCACTCACTCACTCACTCACTCACTCACTCACTCACTCACTCACTCACTCACTCACTCACTCACTCACTCACTCACTCACTCACTCACTCACTCACTCACTCACTCACTCACTCACTCACTCACTCACTCACTCACTCACTCACTCACTCACTCGCTCGCTCTCGCAGGGTGGCTACATTGACTTCAAGCCGTATATGATGTCTTTCCCCAGCGACCCCAAGTTTGCCTCGCTCAAGCACACCATCGACCGCATGAACCAGATCCAGATGTACGGCTTCCGCCCCGACCAGCCCCACAAGCGTCTCTACCGTCTGCTCACCCTCTTCAGCCCCATCTTCTCCAACCCCGGTCTCCGCGACGCCATCCCCACAAAGTACTATGTCGACAACCTGTTCCTCGGCGACATGGGCCATCTGGACTCGCTCCTTCGTCAGGTCACCCTGACTGGTCGCGCCGTCGTCTCGGGCATGGGCGGCATGGGCAAGTCCGTCCTGGCTCGCCAGTTCCTCCAGTTCATGATGGGCACTCTTGCCGTCAGCAACGACGGCGAACTCGACGGCTTCAAGCTCGAAACTGTCGGCATCAAGCCGCAGTACAGCCGCATCTACTGGGTCAACTGCGCGACCGAATCGACGGCCCTCGACAGCCTGGTCGACATCTTTCCGCACATCAAGCCCGGCGAGATCAAGCAGCATGCCTCTCGGATCCTCTCCCAGAGCCGCGAGTATCTCCTGGTCCTCGACAATGTGGACGACATGGCCGTGGTCGACTCGGTGTTTGAGCACTCTGTCGCGGCCGGATTCAGCGGCGACGTCGTTGTGACGACCCGGTTGTCGGCTCTCGACGAAGGACCCTTCCTCACGGCCCTCGGGGCCAAGCTTGACGACTTCCAGCAGGCTCCACTCCGCCTCGAGTCGTGGAAGAACGAGACAGCCTTTGACTACATCCTGGCGACATCGCCAATGATTGCCGTGAAGGTGGGCACCGACCAGGACCGAGCAACGCTCCGAAAGCTCATGGACCGGATCAACGGATATCCCCTCGTGATCCAGACGGTGCGGATCTATGCCGAATGCAACGACACGCCGATCGACGAGATCGAGGCGCAGTTTGCCCAGGCACTCGAGGAGCAGGATGGCGAAGACGAGACCCGGTCGTCGCTCAAGGTGATCGTGGATCTGTCGATGAGCACGCTGCTGAAGAAGGGTGCAGTGGGAGTCGAGGCATGTCGGCTGTTTGGGGCGATCAGCCTGCTGGCGCCAGACGACATTCCTCTCGAGCTGATCACAGCGATTGCGCAGAAGATGGAGCTCTCGGCCGATGGTGAGTGAGTGACGGCAGAGTTGTGCGAGGGGTGTGGGCGAATATGCTTGACGGCGTGGATGAATGGCAAGCGAATGCCCAAGCGATGAGTAATTGGCGATGAATGCACAAACACACGAATGACTGATGGTGATTGACGAACCATATCTCTGTCCAGCTGCCCATCTCGTCAAAATGGTGTGCGAGAGTGGTCTGCTCCGGCCCGGGCCCGACGAGCAGTACTACACGCACTCGCTGACGCAGAGAGTCGCCCACGAGTGGGTCGTCGAACATGGCGAGCTCAACAGCGACCGGATCGAAGATGCCACTGGCGAAGCGCTCCTAGATAGGATCAAGATTCCATGCAATCGCAAGGACTTGGAGCTTGGTCGCCACCTCGACCTATATGCCCGCAACACTGTTCCCGACATCCTCACCAAGAGACTCCACTTTGAGGTCCTCACCCGCATGGGTCGCGTCACCGAGTCCAGAGGCGCCTATCGGGAAGCAGAGAGCATCTTCACGTTGCTGTTGCCAAAGATCATTGCTTTCCACGGCACACGACATCATAGCGATGTCGCCGCCAATATGAGCAACATGGCCGTCCTCTATTCTGCGCTGGGACGCCACGAGGATGCACTCAAGTACTTTGAGGAGGCGATAGACCTTCTTTCCAACCTGTTTGGAACCCGGCGAAACCTTGCGGTCGCCCGGATTATCGGCAATGCCGGTGATTCCCTCAGAAACCTGGGGCGCCTCCCCGAAGCGGCAGCGCACATGCAAGAATCGCTCGATATCATGATCGAGAGTATTGGAACCCGCGAGCATCCTCTTGTTGCCACGACGCTCAACGGCCTGGCAGGTATCTTGCAAGACCAAGGCCGTTTCAAGGAGAGTTTTGAGCTCTATCAAGAGGCGTATGATCTCATGATCAGGTTTCCAGAGACCAGCAGCGACATTACCATTGGGACCGTGCTCTCCAACATGGGATCAGCCGCCCTGAAAGTAACTCGCTACCAGGTGGCACTCGAGTATCTTCAACAGGCGCTCGATATCCGCCTCAGGGTGTTTGGAACACGCGAGCATCTCGATATCGCCACGACCCTTGGGGAACTCGGCATCGTAGCCTTGCATCTTGGGCAATACGAGAGCGCAGCCAATTATCTCAAAGAGTCGCTTGACATTACCGTCAGGAGCGTCGGGACAAGGGAGCACTCCGACGTTGCCACGGCCTTGACCAACCTCGGCACCCTTGCAAGCTGTCAGGGTCTTACCGCACAATCGCTTGCCCTGCACATGGAAGCACTGACCATCTTTCGAAAGGTCTTTCAAAACAAGCCCCATCCCCTCATCATCACGGCCCTCTGCAACATTGGCGATGTTTCCAAGTCCCAAGACGATCCCGTCGGCGCCTTGTCACGGTATTTCGAAGCCATGGAGATGGCAGCGAGTGTATACAGCACCCGCGACCACCCCAAGATCGCCTCGATTCTGGTCAGGATGGCATCGATTGTTGGCGATATGAATATGTTTGATCAAGCCCGCGGCTTCTACCTGCAAGCCCTCGACATCTATGTCAAGGTGTATGGGACTCGAGAGCATGAGGATGTCGCTCTCTTGCTCAACAACCTGGGGTGTGATGCCCGCGTCGAGGGAAAGCTCGATCAAGCAATGGAGTACCTGCGGGAAGCGCTCGATCTGCGTATCAAGATCTTTGGCACCAAGCTGAACCCCGATGTTGCCGAGTCGATCAATAACATTGCGGCAGTTGAATGGAACCGTGGTCACAGCGACGAAGCCATTGCACACCTTGGGGAAGCCCGTGACATTCTGATCACGGTGCACGGCTCCAAGCAGCATCCAAAAGTTGCCAGGACAATCATGAATATGGCCGAGATCTACCGCAGCCAGAGCCGCTACCGAGAATCCACTGCTGCTTTCCAGGAAGTCATTGAGATACAGATGCAGATCGATGAGAACCGAAATCATCGCAACGTTGTGCGCTCTCTTGACAGTATTGCTGAGATGGCTGAAGATCTGGACGATGTCGACGAGGCTCTGGAGGCGCTCCAAGAGGTCTTGGTCATCCGCAAGTCAAACGGCGATGAGGCCGCCACGATGAAGCTGCTTCACACAATGGCCAAACTGGCAGGCGAACACAGCCGCTTTGTTCAGGCTCAGACATATAACAGCGACTTGCTGGAACTGGCCGTCAGGCTGCTTGGCACCAGAGAACACCAGCTAGTCGCAGAAACACTCAACAATATCGGCCTGGCTTTGTCTGCACAGTCCTCCTTTGAAGAAGCCGTGAAGTATCATCTCGAGGCGCTCGATGTCGCCCTTCGACTGCACAAGTCCCGCGAACACGTTGACGTTGCGAGCATATTTGTCAACCTTGGCAATGCCGAACACGGCTGCGGGCGCTTGGAAGAGGCCCAGCAGAGGTACCAGGAGGCCCTCGATATATTCTCCAAGGTCCTGGATAGTACGGATCACCCTATATTTGCTATGGTCGGAGAGTGTATGAAACAGGTTGAAGAGGACAAGGCCATGCAACTGGCCATGCACGATGTCGCCAAAGTTGATTGCGACGGTCAAGGAATGGACGGTGCTGCCGGGGACCCAAATGTAGTTGCGCCAGCGAAACAACATCAAGCAGACGACTCGTGCGCATCATTCGTGATTCCTGCTGAGCACGACAACGGGATTGGAGCCACTGATGAGAATGAGGAAGAGATCGAGAAAACAATGCCAAAAGATACTGGAGATGCAAACGGTGTCGAGGCCGATGAGAAAGTAAGAGCACAGGAGCCAGTGTCTGATTACAATGCCAACGAGTCAGCTGCCAAGAGATCGAGGGCGGAATCCGTGGTTGAGGATGTCGGGGTAGCGACAACGAGGGTCTGCCAGATCGGCTGCGTTGTAATGTAGCAGGGTCAAACCGAGTGCAGAGGAGAGGATACAGTGAAGAGTCGTTCGATCTGGTCCGGCAATACAGGACCATTTCATAAATCATTCCGATCACACCTATTCCAGGAAGAGTGGGACAGTATCCACTTCAAAGGCACGCCGAGATCATGCTCCTGGCTGTGCTCTTGCTTCGCTGCGGTCAGGCAGCACTTGAAGGCGCTCTCAATCTCGGCGTTCTTGCTGAATATGAGTGGGCCTGCCAAGAAGATCTGCGGGTCCTCGATGCTGTTGCCGTCAAGCATGTCGATATGCATGTTGTTGTACTGCACAATGTTGTTGGAGTGGTTGAATATGGTGCAGTCCTTGAAGATGTGCTGGTCCGGGTGCTGCTGGCGGATACGATCCATCGCTGCGACTTCGTGGTTGATCTCGCTGTGTTGATGGTGGCAGCGAGCGGTGACTTGGATGGAGGGATGATGGCACCACAGTTGATACAGGTCTCCAGGATATGGTCCTTTGCATAGCCAGCGAAGTAGATTATGTGGGTGGTGTCTTCATCACAAATCGGAGTGGATGAACGGCACCAGGATGGTGTGGATATTGTGGTGGATCTCGAGTGGTCGCCCTGGCGGCTATCATTTGAGTGATTTGACGGACAGGATCACACGGATGTGCGAGTTGGTGCTGGGGTTGACCATGGTGGCATCGTCCTTGTCGGTGAACTGGGCAAGGTCATGGGCTTTGGCGTCGAGATGGGCATAGATACGGACAAGGTCGCTCTTGATGACGCTGGTGTCCTGGCCGATGTGGATCGAGAGGATGTGGTACTTGCCCTTCGTGGTCCATAAAGTACATGGCGAGCTTGATGGAGCGGACCTGCTTTCTCCGGTTCCATGTGGCGAGGGATGGTCTGGATCGTGCTCACTCTTTAGACATCCATGGCTGCAGAACGAGTATCGATTGTCGTGGTGGAGTTGTCGTTGTCGAGTCATTCGATGCTCACTCGGTCGATCAACATCAGCGATTCTTATGGGACAGCACTGTTGTATATTGGATGTATTGGATGAATTGGATGTATTGGATGTACCGGATGTCAAATACAACACCAATCGGCCATTGCCGCTTTCTCGGGATTACTTTGCAAGTCCACTCTTTGGTATCATGGTGTCAGGGATGGGTGTGGGCGGCGCAATTTTGTTGGATGTTGGATAATGTAGCTTATTACTTTGGGAGTGGAACATGGGAGGGACTCGGGGATCAAAACCTTCCCATTTGCCGAGTTGCTTGAGTTGGTTGATGGCAACATTGTTTCCCTAGTCGGCGGACTTTTGGAACCAGACGAAGGCGGTGTCGATGTTCTTGGGGACACCATAGCCGAACTGGTAACACTCGCCAAGAAAAAATTGTCCGTATCGATTTCCCTGCTCGGCTGATTTGCGATACCACTTGGCTGCTTTGGTGTAGTCCTCGGTGACTCCAATTCCATAATAGTAGCAAAAACCAACCATATTCTGCCCATATGAGTTGTCTTGGTTGGCCGACTTGCAGAACCACTCGAATGACTTCTTGTGGTCCTGCGATACACCCACACCCCAGTAGCAGCACTCTCCGATCCAATATTGACTGTCGCTGCGGCCTTCGTTGGCGAGTTGCTCAAAGTTACCGGCTGCCTTCTTCTGGTCCTTGGTGGTTCCGAATCCATAGTACAGACACACAGTCATGAGGTGTCGACACAGCCAGTCGTGGTCCGATCCCAGCCGGCAGAGATTGAAGAATTTGCGGGCTGCGTGGGAGTTGGAGTCGGCACGCGTCCCAAAGAACTTTGTAAGACACTTGTCCTCACCCAGCCTGAACTCATCCGATTTGTTATCGCGGATGATCTTTGTACCCTTCTGTTTGTCCTGAACGGTGCCCCGGCCAAGGTAGTGCATCCATCCGACCATGTGGGTGGCGATGGGTTTGATGATTGGGTGGGTGGATTGGGTGCTGACCTCCTGCCAATGGTTAAAGGCATCGACATCGCAATGTTCGACACCATGGCTGATCAGCGAAAGCCAGCCACGGAGGAACACAATGTGGAAGCGGCCGTCTTCGCTGCCCTGGTCTGCAGCCTTGGAATACCACTCGATGGCTGTGTTATACTCTTGATCGACACCTTCGCCAATCTCGTAGCATTGACCGAGGGTTATTTGGGCCTGAGGGATTCCGCGTTCTGCAAGATCACGATACAGTTCGGCAGCCTTGGTGAAATTTCGGTTGACACCAATGCCATCGTGATAGAAGTCAGCCAGGTGGAACATTGCCATCGTGTGGTGTGCGTTGGCGGCATTCTCCAGATGGCGGAAGATTCGCTGGCGGATAGCTTGCTCCTTGTGCTTGTCCATATACCGCTGGCGAGCGACATCGACTTGAAGGATTCTTGCCAAGAAATACGATGCGGCAGCGTTGCCTTTGTCGGCTTGGGCAACGAGCCAGGATCGTTCAGTTGTCTCTTGATTCTTGCGGTGCAGGGAGAGAGTGATCTGGTCACTGGGTGTGAGGCCGATCCGCAGCGATCCGTCTGGACGACACAGTCCTTCCTTCCGACACCAGTGATGGAAGCGAGCTATCCTGAAGCTCAGAAGGGGACGGGCACGCCTGCACACTCGGAGGAGGGTCTTGATCGTGTTCAGGTCGAGGGCAAGCCAGAAACTCTCATTGCAGCATATGATGGTGAAAATGTCTGGGTTGTGTTCGAGCGAGAGTTGGGTGATATCAGGCATCGACGAGGCTGCTCTGTCTTCAGCTTGGGTTTGCTGAGTGGCTGATGATGCTGTGGTTGAAGCAGGCTCGTTCATGCTGGCCATGTTGACGGAGACTGGATGGAGACAAGTGGTGACGGAGCTGGACAGGAGACAGTGAGGGAATTTGTGGCGAAGCAAACCAAACACTGGCCATCTAACACACACACACAAGCCTGGCTCGATCCGATGGTTTGCTGGCTGGACTCGCTGTTGTACAAGTACTGCCACATACACTGCCACATACATAAAATCGATCATGGAATCGAACATCGTATCGAGTCCTGCATTCTCGCCAAGGCAAGATGTAATAGCCATTCCAACCAATTCCACATCGACACCGACACTATGGCCCCAACCTGCTGCACCAAGCACCGCCAGTTTGGGTCCATGGGGTGTTTGCGAGGCTACACCATGCCCTCGCCAAGAATGTCCTCCGAGCTCGCATTCTTCAACAGAATGTTACGAGCCCCATTGATGTCGCGATCTATCATCAACCCACACTCCCTGCAATGATACACCTTGGCTGCTCCCAGGTCCCGCTTGATGTGCCCGCACCGAGTGCATGTCTTGCTCGTGTACTCGTCCCGTGTCCTGGGCTTGGTTTTCGCCCGGACGGACAAGTGGCTCCGAGACCACGATGTAGAACTTGCCAGTCTTGGTCCGCATGATGCGGGTGTCGCAGAGGAAGGGAAGCTGCAGTCGGCGATCCTCGATGGTCCCGTCGGCACGGAGGCGGGGAAGGAGGCTCCTCTCCATCCGGCTGTGCTTGGGCGGCTTCTTGACACATTTCATGCTTCTGGACAGCATGGGGTGGTCGCCATCGGCATCCACAGGCTGTGGAAGAGGCGGACGCAGAAGCTGCACAGGAGTGTCTTGTGCGCTGGGATGGGCCAGCTTGAGAGCATCCATGTGGTATATGTGAGCTGACGACAGATCGAGACATAAACGGCCCGCACCATGCTGTTGAAGAGTGTGATCACCGAGGAGATGCACGGATTGTGGTCGAAGGTCTAGTTGTATCAGATGAGGTATGGGATGTCTTCGCAAAAGTTTCTGGATATCGTGAGGCGGGCCGGTTGGGATGCAGGCCGATGGCGGATGCTTATGCTTTTGAGTGAAAATCCAAACCCCATCCAGCGCATGTCACAACAGGGACACAGCATCCGACTCAGGGACAGATAACAAGTCAAGGGACCAAATGGTGCGATATATTGATCACATTGAGCTAATAGGAGGAAGTTGTGGGGTCGCCGCGTCTGATGGCAGCGACCTTTTCCTCACGGAGGACTCGCTCGGTCTTGATGCGTTCGCGAAGGAGCTCGTTTTGCAGCCAAAGGTTCTTGAGTCTGAGCATTATCATTGGATCTTCGAACTTGACCGTGGTGCTCGGCTGCTCTGTGGTTTCAATGACGACCTCTATAGAGACATCGGGGCTCGAAAGTCGGCGGCGAGATCGAGGAGGGAAGCTGGGCGAAGCTCTGGCACCCTCGGCGGCGGGCTCGGGACTCTGACGTGGAGGGGACTTTCTCTTCAGACGAAGGGGAGTCGAGTGTCGCGCAAAGAAGCGAAGGGTGGAGCCTACGGGCGTCTCTGCTGGTTCTCGAGAAGTGCTGGCCGAAACACCATTGACGATGCAGTGCTTGGTGTACTGCAGGAAGCAAGAGATGTCTTGTTCCTCGTCGGGGAGCTCGTCACGATTTTTTTTTTTTTGTTACTATAGTCAACTTTATTCAAGAAGACAAGCCATCAGGTCCAACAGGTTGGTACCCCGGCACGTTGAGTAGTCAGGCAAGCCTATTTACTCCTGTTGCAGCCTAGTGCTGCCTCAGCTGCCCACAAGGTCTGAGACCAAGCGGGTGAACACATTTTCGAGCAGTTCCCACAAGGGAACAGCAGGATCGAGGGGAGGTCGGGGTGGTGGGGTGACAAGTGCTGGCACTATACTACGCTGTGATGAGGGTGCAGGGAGAGACTGCAAGGGCGGGACTACACTAAGTGTGGGAGTGGGTGGTGGTGCTGGGTGTGCACCAAGTGCAAATGTTCGGAAGGCATTGCGGGGAGCGGGTACATGAGCAGCAAGCGATCCAAGTGCGGGAGGGGTGCGACTGCGAGGGGGAGTGCGATCGAAACTGAGCAGGTCCAGCAGCTTGTCCACTGGTCCCACTCCGGCTATACCACTTTCCACCCAAGTCGGGTGGGCCGTCTTGAGGGCTGCGACCTTGCGGACCAGGACTTGATGCGGATCCACACACTGCTGTGCGTGGGTCCTGGTCAAGTCGATCCCGGATCCGTGTCGAGCCAGGTTCTTGCACTTGCGGTATCCAAACCTGAAGTGGCCTGGGAGAGCACCGAGTCGCCATCGGACCATGAACATGAGCATGACCATGGATCCTTGGTACCCGCGAGCCTCCCAGAGTCCCGACATCTTGGTCGACGGGGTGCAGGCGGCGGTGAGTTGCTTGGAGCGGTCGAAGCCGTTCTTCATGTGGTCCTCGAAGATGAGGGTCTTGATCGGGACGGGCTGGGGTCGGGGCGGTCCGGGCGGCGGCGGCTGGTGTCGGGTCTTGCCTCGGTAGATCTCCGTGGCCGTGAGGGAGTGGTCGGCCTCTTGTCGGCGGACCACCATGGCCCAGTGCGGATCGGCTCGGACTCCTTGGCCGAGGAACTGGTCGGGGTGGTACGGCGCAATGATCTTGTTGCGCAGGATCATCGACAGCATCTTGTCGCCGTCAGAGACTTGGTCGTCCCAGCGGGCCCAGTTCTGCAGGGCCAGCATCTTGACACGGACCGACATCTTGGGGAGGCCGCAGTTGAGGTGCATGGCACCGACGGGAGTGCCGGGGCCGACGCGGAACATGGTGCGGAGGGCCGTCATCTGGGCGTCGTCGAGGCGGTTTTTTTTTTTTGTTTTGATAGTTGTATATTCAGGAATATTCAACATGCCATCAGTATCGCAGGATACCCGGCAGTGGGTGGCCAAGCTCGCTCATACACCCCTGTTGCGGCCTTCGCCGACTCTCCAGCCCACACGGCGAGCCATGCGGGTGAACACTCCCTCTAATAACTCCCAGAGGGAGTCGCACGTTTCCAGGTCCCTCTCAGGGATGTCGGGGGTTGGTTTATCCAAGTCTCCCTCTAGTATCAACTCGAACCCACTCCAGGGTTTGCTGTGCGGTGTTGGGTCTTGACTTGCCCTCAAGGGAGTGTGAGTTTGTCTGTGGGAGGGGTACTCGGGATTTATCTCGTATCCTGGGGTCTGACCTAGTCCCAAGTCATCGTCGGACTCTGGGATCGGGTCAGTACTTCGTCCTTGGGAGGGCGTGGGAACCACTCTCGGTTCAGGGCCGGGGACTGGATGTCTATTCGTCTCCCTGGCCCGGTTTCGGTCTCGGTTCGGGAGGGAGTCTTGGTTGCCATCAGGGGAGTACTCTGAGCCAGACTCTGAGACTGACTCTGAGGTTCCTCCCCAGTTCGACCCCGAGGCAAGGTCTGAGCTCGGTTCGGGGTGGTGGGGCTCTAAGTCCACACTCTGGTCGGAGTGAGGTACTAAGTCCCCACCAAGGTCAGAGTGAGGCACTAGGTCCCCACTATGATCGGAGTGGGATACTAAGTCCAAACTCTGGTCAGTGTCCCAGCAGTAGTGTCTTCCACTATCGAGAGACAGTTCGTCAAGCTCGTCCCAGATTGGTCTCGGCGTTGGGTCGGTTCTTACCAAGAAGTCAAAGTCAATGTCGTAGTCTGACACTGAGCTGACTTCAGAGCCAAGGTCCGAGTCCACTTCGGGGCCAGTCAGTCGGAGCCTCCCCATCCGAGCAATCACTCCCGGTAGAGAGCTCCAGAGCCGATCTCGATCATCAAAGTCGTCGTCTACATCAGCATCACTGATGCCAGTGTCATCATCTGTATCCGAGACTATTGATGCGATCAAAAGCCCCGGTCTCTCCCCTCGCTTCCCCACCGAGTGATTATTATTGTTATTGCCATGTCTCTCTCTCCCTGGTGTTTGGGTTCCCACACCAGTGTGCTGCTGTTGCTCTTCTCTATCCTTCTTGGCTTCAAACTCCAGCAAGTCAAGCAGCATGTCTATAGGCCCCACTCCTTCGACTGTGGGTTTGACCCAGCTTGGGTGGGTCCGTGCGAGTTCGTTGACCTTTCTTGCCAAGATGCCTTTGGGGTCGACGCATCTTTGAGCGTGGGAACGGTTAAGGTCTACTTTGATTCCGTTCTTGGAGCACCATCGGCAGGGTCTGCTTCCTCCCTTGGTGTGTCCTGGGAATATCCCAAGTCGCCATCGAATCATTAGCTCGAGGATAGGCTGACTACCTGTGTATCCCTCGGCTCTCCACAGTGCCGACATCGAGGTTGTCGGTGTGCATGCAGCTGTGAGTTGTTGGTCTCGTTTGAACGCTGTCCTCATGTGTTCTGTGAGGATGGCTTCTCGCAGAGGGATCGCCAAGTCGTCCTCTTGGGCAGCCTGGGCTCGCTGTCGATGTCGTGCTCGTCCGTTAGCCGGGTCTGGGAATGCTCGAAGATACCTGTTCTTCCGTAGGTCCCGGGCTAGTCGCAGTGTCCACTCTGGGTTGTTGCAGAGTAGTGGTCTATCGGGGTCGAGGAACGGGTGGAACCAGCTCCTTTGTGTCCCTATGGTTTTGTCCTTCTTCCTTAAGGCCGACGCTTCCGTTCCAAGGAAGGCCTCGGTCGCTGTCAATTCAGGATTGGTGTCCTGCCTGGCCATTAGTCGTTGCCAGTGTTTGTCTTGCAACAGCTTGTGTCCAAGGAATTGCTCGCCTGTGAACGGGGGTGAGCGGGTGTTTCTGAGGACGATCGATATCATCTTTGAGTTGTCTGCGATCTCGTCGTCCCATCTTGCCCATGTCTGGAGTGCCAGTATCTTTGCTCGCATCGACATCTTTGGTAGTCCACAGCTGATGTGCATTGCTCCTATCGATGTCCCTGGTCCTGCGCGGAAGAGTGTGCGGAGGGCCGTCATCTGTGCTTCGTCGATACGGTCCTGCTGGTCGCTTGGGAGGAGGTCCAGGGCCAGTCCGTATTCGAGTGTCGGT